TCTAAATTAATCACTAAAACCATCACTTATTACATTTTGGAATTGAATAAGGCACGTTTAACTCCTTAAATCTTCATTCAGTGTTTTAATTTGATGGTCTGAGTCTAAGTTTAAAAAAAAGTTCCTATTTCGTCCCTAGATCGGTCATGTGGATGATAAAATTCAGTGACTGAATGCAACTACGAACCTGCTTAGTCAAATCTGAATTTTCTTTCAGCACTAATGTGACCTGCACACGTAAAATCATGTCCAAGAGAAAAAAAAAATTACATTTTGATCAGTTTTTGATAATTTTTGGTCATTTCATCAGTTCCCCACCCTTGGGGTAAAAAAATTGCACTCCATACCAAGCTAACGTAGCCAAGTTTTAAACAAATTGTCCATATTACCACCAGCTTCAGATGCCATTTAAGGGAGGCCATAGATCACAATTGATCTGTACGGCCAGCGAAGTAAGTAAGGCGTGGAAACTATCCCAAATATCCCATTTATACCTTATATTCCAAAAATATTCAAAATAATCCCTGAGCCTGTATGCATTAGAATTGAGATATCCCATCATATGCTGAAATTACACGTCTAATACACTAAGGATACGTTGGGATATCTTTATTATCGTGCATACATGCTCAGGAATTTTTTGAATATTTTTGGGATATGTAGGATAAATATGATATTTGAGATAGTTTCCATGCCTTGGAAGTAAGTAAGTAAGTCCATATTACCGCCTTTCGTTCTACATTTCAACCCCTAACCCCAAAAATTCTAAATAAAATTTCTTTGATAACTCACAAGAGTATTTAATTCATAAACACACTTTACTGTAGCTCTATTTCCCTCTTCCTCTTGATATTTATGTCTTGTTCCTTTTGAGAATATGTCCTTTTCCATCTCACGTATCACAATTGCGTATTTGTGTTTATTCAATTCAGAATTGTTGAGTGGTGTCACAATCAGATTATTGTATCCATGTATGTTTGGGTCATATTTAAGTTTCGTCCATATACGTTTTATGGACATATTTTTTGTGTAGCTACAGCAATAAAACATTTAGTTTGATATTTGACTAAAAAACATATAAATTTTTCCATTACATTTGGTCATTTCCTTCTTACAAGTTTCTTGACAGACAAAATAATTTGAAAAAATTTAAGAAATTCTCTTCCTTGTTCCTTATTGCTGTGAAAATGACGAAGGATGAGCATGACGATGCTGATGAAAGAGAAGGAAAAATTACATTTTCACTTCTGTTCACAAGAAGCTTAGCCTATTGTTCTCGGTTGAGATGAAAAAGGTATTGAAGAAATAACGAAAGCCTCTCAAAGTATTAAAAAAAATATTTGGCACTTCTCATTGAATTTGCTGTGTCTGGCATTGACTGCTAAAGTTTTTAAAATGTAGCAACATGTTTTTTGTGATTTTTCTTATCATAAAGTCTAAGTCAATAGGGGCTACAATTTTAATGTAGGGTACAACTTGACAGTTTTTTAACTAACCTAGAATTCGTTAAGATTCAAGAATTCTTGTCAGGGATGCAGCAAGACGTTTTTCAAAGAGTGATGATGATGGATTTCTATTGCTCCACTATGAAGCGTAGGGCGTCAACAAAGCATTTGAATAGCACTCGATTCTGGGCCAAAGCTGCTATTTCCTGCAGCTTCTTGTTCTGTTGTTTTGCCTCCCGTTCAACAGTTGTACGCCAAGTAATTCTCCGTCGGCCCCTAGTCTTAATTCCTAGGACATTCCAGAAGATCGCTTGTCTCACGATGTCTGTGTAGTCTTTCCTTAAAAGAGTGAATGGGTTTAAACCTCCAGAGATCCCTTGCTAAGCTTCTCAATCAATGAAATAGCTTGTCAAGGATGCGGCCAGACTTTACAAGAGAGAAAATGGGTTTAAACTTTAAGGTATCCTTGCTAAGCACCCCAATCAATGAAATAGCTTGTCAATAGTTATACAAGGTAGTGAAATGGAAACAGACAAATTTGTTAATTAAACGTGGCTTTTAGCCATAGCTCACAATGATCATCCGACCGAAAATCAAGTAAAATTATCCTTTTTTGATTAGTTGGTCACATCTTGCAGTTTCAGCCCTGCTAAGAACTCTTCCATAAATTTCCTCAACACCCCTTCCAGGTCCCCAAAACCTCTCAAAATTCTTCACCATTAGAAAAATATCAAGCACAGAATCGCAAACTGATGATTGAATAGGAAAGAGGAAGATGTAAAAAAATTAAATTTTCTTTCAATAAATCGACATGACAGAGACACAATTTTAACACTTCTGTATTACACACAATCCCGTCCTCATTTATGTCGCTTTCTTTCCTTTTATGTTTCGGAAATTGACCGTAGATTGTAAAAAATTTTCATTCCTCTCAATGGACATCAAATGGTGGGATAAAGAAGAACGAAAAATTTCATTATATTTTTTTTGCCATTGCCTTTCGTCATTTTTCTTTGTAAATGGAGATTCTGAGAAGAGGAGGAAAAGATGGTGTTCAATAGAAAGAAAAGGAATCTTAAAAAAAATTGGACATAAAAAGTGAAGTTTTTGCTATTCACACTTCTCTCGCAATTTATTTTCATATTTATGTATGGACATTGACGAAGGAAGTAATGTGACTTCTTTTGAATTGGAACCAACTTTATTTTTTGTGAGGCATAAAAATTACGAACTATTGGACATTTAATGTTATTAATATTGCAATAAGAAGGAGGCTGTTTATATTGCTGTCATATTCCGGAAATGAAATTTTCTTTCTTTACAGAAACTTCATTACAGCTATTGACAGTTTTATGTAGGGTGACCATCTGCGTAGTTTTACAACGGACAGTCCTGGGTAATTCCATGAGTAATGAGAACTGTGAAAAAGCACTTTACAATATTTCTCTACTTGTAAAAATTCAAATTTCCAAAAACCGTTATAATTTCTCAACGTTTTGTTGTTTATACAAGTGAATTAGCCGCAATATCATCAAAGAGAGATGGTTCAAATACATATGATCTTTAATGTTTTGAAACTTTAGTTACTTGCTCAATTAAATCAAATAAATCTAATAAACTTATAAGTAAAATCAAAAAATCTAACGGTTTTTGTGAATTTGAAATTTTTTTCAGTGTTCTGTTTTTTTGGTTTTTCTTCTTAATTACAGCATTAAGGAATGCAAATTGTACATAAAACAAAAGCCTGGCTAATATCTAATATGTTAAAAGTAACTTTGGAACATAGAAGTGTGTATTTAAGTAAATATTAGGAAATGTTTAGAAAACGATTTTTCGAAAACTTGACCGATTAATTTTACTTTTATTAAAAAAGCAAAAATTAGACATATTTCTGATGTGAAATTCTCACATATGGAGATTAATATTGTGTTAATAAACATAATAAAGTAACAATTTGGAGTACAAAGTTCTTAGTTAAGAAAATATATTTGAAAATAAGGTGCACCAAAATTTTTTTCACTCATGGAATTACCCTCCTGTATTTCAAAACGTTGTCCTGTATAAATTTGCAAATTTTGTTCCAGGTCCTGTATTTTTTTCACGAAAATTTCCGTTAATTTTCAAATTTTCCTTTGTGTCCTGTATTTTTTAGGATATTTATCAAATGTCCTGTATTTTCATAAAAATTAGATGGTCACCCTAGTTTTATGTTGAAAGCTTCTATCGCTAAAATTTTGTGAATGGTCAATTCATAAAAATTCTTAGGCTTCAAACAATTCATTTTTGGGGGGTTAAAAAGTAGTTTTACGGCGTTTTTTACTCATTACACTTTAATCCAGTCCACCAACTAAGTTTTGATCAGATTGTGTAAGGGCAACTGAACTTCATCCATAATCTTAAATAAAACAGTTCATTCTACTTCACCCAATCTTCATCAACTCAGTTTCTCAACTTATTAATTCACAAAAGAATCTCAGAATTTATTCCATTCTTTATTATTTGAACATTCTTCAAGTGAAGTAATCAAAAAAACGAGAAATTATTCCTGAGACGAAATAGAAAGGACATCGACTGTGCATGAAATAAATATCAGCAATGGCAGCATACACAAACACCAAGCAGAAAAGTATGAAAAGAGGGTTTGATTAGAAGGACAAAATTGAATAATAAAACGTCATATTTTAATACGTTTTTCCTCTTTTCGCTCTTCAACTTCCCTATTTCAATCCATATTATGAAAAAAATCCCGCATTGCCTTTCTCATTCCATAGTCGATAATATTATTATTCTTATTTTTCTCCTTTCATTTTTTCCGTGTCATGTTTCGGTAATGTTTTTCAATGGAGAACTGGGTGATACTGTTAATAAAGTGTGAAATAAATTGTTAAATTAATATAATTCCTGTGGCTTTAAATATTGTAAATGTTGCTAAACTACGTGTCTGAACGTGGTAATTAATAAATTAATCGAGTACATTTCAAAGAGCACCTAATTAATTAATTTAAAGAAAAATTGTGAAAGACAAAAGATAATATTTAAAGGCAAATATAAAGCAATTGAAAAGGAACCGGAAGCAAACCTGTTATTAATAATAATTGTGAGAGGTGTACCTACAATATTCAATAATCAAAAAATCCATTATCCAACGTAATAGCCGAGAAATCGCATAATTAAGTTAAACAAAGGATCCGTGATAACAAATTATCGCGCCACATTCTGTGGTGAATTGGCCATTTTGAGTGGTGAACATATCGTCGATTTCAAAAATTCAAAACTTAACGACATTTAACGAGCTTTTGTGGTGAAAGTGGTGAAAAAGGAACAATCCAAAAGCCAAAGACCAAAGACTCCCACTAGGCACTATTACAGACTGTTAAGTGATAATTGTCCTTAACAGTCGTGTACATCGCACGGTACGTCAAGTAAAAAAAGCTGTAAAGATCAAATTTGCTGCCTTAATATTTCTCTTTTTCTTACTTTCAGCAATTAAAGTGGGAGTCTGGTAAAGCAGTGACTACTATTTAATAAAAGAGAATGAGCATGTCAAATAAGGAAATGGATGTAGAAAAAAATCAAAATCCATTCAATAGAAAACCAGGCGGCAAATTGGAGAGGACACCACCAACAAACAAAATAAAATCTCTTAATGAAGCTTCTAGCGAATCAGTTCAAAAGGGTATCAAAAGACAATCTGAGGAAGCCCTTACTAGCTCAAATGAAAATATGTTTGACAAGCTTATGAACAGGTTTAATGCACTTTCGAATGATATGAAAACAATGGAGAATAACGTTGGGAGGAAGCTCGATGAGAAGTTCGAAGGACTGCAAACATTCATAGACAAGACTGAGGAGAGACTAGGAGAAATTGAAGGCAAAGTCAAATTGTATGACGTACAGGTTGATCAAAATACCAAGGCTATCAACCACTTAAATCAGAAGGAACTGCAGAATAAAATTGACATCATGGGAGCAGTATGGCCAGAGGCATTAGAGAAAAATCAAATAAAGATTGAAATTGTGAAACTAATGGAAAAATACAATATCAAACTTGAAATATCAAAGATTAAGTCAGCATATGTTAGGAAAATAAAATCGCTTAACATAAAGGTCATGGTAGTGGAATTCAGTGACTTTGAGACGAAGCTTGAGATTTTAAAGCAGAAGAGGCAATCTAAAATAAGAGACGGTATTTATTTTGATAACTCGCTTACTCCTATCAACGGAAAATTAATCAGCAACGCAAGAAAGATTGGCAAAGAAAAGAATTTCAAAACTTACCTCAACAACAACAAAATCTGCGTAAGAAAATCGGATGATGAGTTCAAATACATTGAATCAGAGGCTGATCTTGAGATTGTTCAATCGTGGGAAGCCAACAGTAATCCAAAGAAAAAAAATAATTACAGGAATGAAACAGCGTCATCGTCGGCATCATCTGATAATCAAAAAGCATAGCAATCACAGTCAAATCATTCAAAGCATCCATGTCCTCCTAAAAAGTTAGAAATCATTAATAAACCCGTCAAACGTATTGAAAATGTGTACTTTGAATCTTTCAATGAGTTTAAGAAATCAAGTATGTCTATCCAGAATATATCAATATTTCAATTGAATGTAAGAGGAATAAACAACCCAAAGAAATACGAAAAGATAAAAGTTCTTCTATCTCAAATATCAGTAAAATTTGACATCATTGCATTGGGAGAAACAAAATTAAAGGCAACATTTCCGGCTGGAATTTACAATCTTAATGGATACGAAAGATACAATTGCTGTCGTGATACGAAGAATGGTGGAGGAGGGCTGATGGTATTTGTTAAGAAAGGCATCCTAGTAAAACAGATAGAAAAAGAATCAACATCATATGAGAAAATCAAAATGATTATAAGCATTAATAAGAAGGAATACAAAGTTTTGTGTTACTATAGAAACCCAGTAGATCAATCCGTAGAACCATTTATGAAAGATGTAGAAGATGAGATGTGTGAAAGAAGCAAATATGTAATCATTATTGGTGATGTAAATCTAGATGCATCCTCAGATAATAAGGTTTCAGAAAGATACGTCAAGTTGTTGAAAAGTTATGACATGAAGATCACAAATGATATCATGACCAGGAATGAAAGTAAAAGAATTATAGATCATTGCTGTGTAAATTTTGAGGATGAAACTACTATAAAGAACTATACAATTAATACAAGATTAAGTGACCACAACATAATAGTAACCGAGTTTGCGTGTATCAAAAAAGAAAGAGAAGAGAATATAATAGAATTGGAATGCACAAATTGGAATAAACTTAAGGAAACTTTCAACACTCTACAATCAAAATCAACGATTCTACAAGAAAGGGACCCTAACAGAATTGCTGAACTACTTGTAAACATGACGTCTGAGTCAATTAAGAAAGCAACAAAAAAGCTAAGATTTAAATGCAATAAAAACAGCAAAATATGTAAATGGTTTAATTTGCGAATTATGAAGGCTATTAAACATAAAGATAGTCTTTCAAGGTTGAGCAGAAAGAAAAAAGGAAATAGATTGATAAAACAACGATTTATGCAAGCATCAAGGAAAGTGACAAGAATAATCAAGCAAGAGAAGGACAAGTACATCAAAAAATCTCTAATGGGAACAAATTTGAAAAGGAAATGGAAGAACCTTAATGAGATAATTGGCAGGAAAGCAAAAAATAACACAATTAATGCAATAAAGGATGAGAATGGAAATATGATAGAAGATCCGATTTTAATGACAGAGGCTTTTAATGAGTACTTTATTAATTCTGTGAAAGACATCAAGAGCAAATTGACTAAGAGCTTATATCCAATCAAAGAAAAGTCTGTAGCAAAATCAATGGTACTTGAAGAAACAAATGAAGAAGAAGTAATGGAAATAATTTTATCATCAAAAAATTCGGCACCAGGAATCGATGGGATAAAATTAACACATGTTAAAGCAATAATTGAACAAATAACACCTAGTCTCGTACATCTAATCAACAGAATGATGGAAGAAGGAATCTATCCCAAGATATTCAAGACTGCGATTGTGACACCGATTAACAAATCAGGAAAAAAGACAGAGCTAAACGACTACAGGCCTATTTCGGTCTTGACAACGTTCAATAAGATTGCAGAGAAAATAATCCATAAGAGGCTCACAAATTTTACAGAAGATTACTTAAATATTATATATAAACATCAGTATGGATATAGAAAGAAATCCAGTACAGAGACAGCAGCCATCGAAATGATCAACCAAATTCAAATCGCAATTGACAAGAAAATGAAAGCTTCATTGATATTCATGGACTTGAAAAGGGCCTTCGACATCGTTGATGTTGATAAATTAATACTCACGTTAAACAATTATGGTGTAAGAGGCCGAGCGTTGAAACTTATTAGAGACTATCTTTCAAATAGGCATCAAGTTGTAAGAATCAAAGGAGTAATTAGTAAGTCAAAATCGTTCACACAAGGTGTTGTGCAGGGATCGGTCCTAGGAAGTTGGCTGTTCTTAATATTCTATAACTCAATAGCAGATCTGGATTTAAATGGCAAACTTTTCTTGTATGCTGATGATAGTGTATTGGTGAATTTCCATAAAAACAGCGAAGATATTAGTGATATAATCTGCAAAGACATGATAAAGATTATTAATTTTTTAAATGACAAAAAACTGATCCTCAATACTGAGAAGACAAATTTCATGATAATTCAGCAAGCAGGAACTAAACAGGATGATACGGAATCAATAGATATAGAATCAAGTGATACAGACGAAATTAAAATTATTGGAAGGTACTGCATAAAGAGGATTAGAGAAGTACGATATCTGGGCCTAATAATTGATGAGCAACTCAAATGGGAAGCTCACATACAAAATATTGAGAAAAAGATAGCAAATGCAACTGGAGTCCTATGGAAAATGAAACATTGCCTTCCGAGGGATACTAAAAAGTCAATCTACAAAGCACTAATTGAATCTCACTTGACTTACATGATTCCATTGTGGGGAAGTGCAAATGAAACTGCAATTAAATCACTTCAAGTGGCTCAAAATCGGGCTTTAAGGAATGTGTACGATATTGAGAGACTTACTAGTAGGACAGAAATGTATTGTGAATTAGTTGATGACAATCTTCCAGTCAGAGGAATATTTCTACTAAATACGGCTGTATTTGTGTATAAGGCAATGAAGAAAGTATCGTACTCAAATATTGTCATCGAAAAAACAAGAATAGGAAGCAGAACGGGAAGTTACCTGAAACCAGCAGCCACAAGAACAAAAAGAGCATCAAAAACGATAACAGCAATCGGTCCAAGAATTTTTAATAATTTGCCGGATGATGTTAAGAAAAGTCATCACTTCGCAGGCTTCAGATGGGCGACGAAACAATTTGCAAGGCAAGAAAACATCATTAAATCTTGTTTCAGCAGTGAATTTCTTGAAAAGTACACGAAATAAGCTAAAAAGAAAGATATTAAATTCTTTGTTAATGGAATTAGATGAATTTAAAAGAAATGACACTAAAAGAAGAGTACTTATCTGAAATACAGAGTGGAAGTTCATCATATACGTCACCGAACCACTGCAAAGTCCTAGATAAGTAGTTAAAGCACTAATTCTTCACTTTCACTATTTTTCATTTAAGCACAATTTGTTTACAAACACAAGTTTATACTGAGAGGATAGAATATTTTTACCGAGAGGATGAAATGAAAGTAGAACAACTGAAAACGAGCAGATCATTTTACAAATATTGAGAAAACGTTATTTAACGAGTTTTTGTTTTAAAATTTAATTTTTGTTAGAGATTTCTTAAAGGCAATATAATTGCGTTGAAACTCTTTAAGCATAATGTGCGGCTAGAGGAGCCCACATATTTATAATTCTGTATATATAATTCTCTGTAAGAATTCAAAGGTTTTTTATGCCTTTTTATCCAGTTTAAGTACTGGATAAGGAGGCTTTTTCCTTTGAATGAATGAATGGAGGAACGAACAATAAAATAATAATAATAATAATAATAATAATAATGCTCGTAATTTTACTTGCTTTATAAGTATGGAGAGAAATTGACGCCCGGGTTTACTTGTGCTCGCTTTCCTTGTCTATATAAAAGTTACACATTCTTCCTTCCGCATTTTCCATTCTTTATTCAATTTTTTTTTTGTTGTGTTTATAGAATTTTTTTGAAGGGGTGGAAAATCATTGAAATTGGACAGGATATGTTTATTTAAATACTTGCTGTGACCATGTTCCTATGTGGAGCTTGCATACTTCTATCCGATTTTATTGTAGGTTTTTTCACCTTTTTAAGGAACAGTTTAAAGAAATTCTTGTATCCTTGCAGCTTTTGGAGTTTCAGGATCTTGCGGATTTAAACTAAGGATGGTGTAAATTTGGCCTTGAAGTTACACCGTCCTTAGTTTAAATCCACAAGATCCTTAAAGTTACACCGTCCTTAGTTTGAATCCGTAAGATCCCTGAAATTACACCGTCCTTAGTTTGAATCCGCAAGATCCTTAAAGTTACACTGTCCTTAGTTTGAATTCGCAGGATCTTCGAGGTTACACCGTCTTTAGTTTGAATCTGCAAGATCCTCGAGTTTACACCGTCCTTAGTTTGAATCCGCAAGATCCTCGAGGTTACACCGTCCTTAGTTTGAATCCGCAAGATCCTCGAGGTTACACCATCCTTAGTTTGAATCCGCAAGATCCTCGAGGTTACACCGTCCTTAGTTTGAATCCGCAAGATCCTCGAGGTTACACCGTCCTTAGTTTGAATCCGCAAGATCCTTGAAGTTACACCGTCCTTAGTTTGAATCCGCAAGATCCTCGAGGTAACACCGTCCTTAGTTTGAATCCGCAAGATCTTCAAGGTTACACCGTAATTAGTTTGAATCCGCAAGATTTTCAAGGTTACACCGTCTTTAGTTTGAATCCGCTAGATCCTCAAAGTAGCACCGTCCTTAGTTTGAATCTGCAAGATCCTCAAGCATCAGTTTATGTTTTTCGACATAGATGTTCAGCCCAGCTGCAATTCCTTTTATCTGCATCACTTTTTTAATAACTTTTGAATAAGTTTTCCAATTTAAACGCTCCTGTGGATTCTACTTTACCAGATCCTTAGAATTTGACTTTAAGTCATATTTTTCATTTGAGTTTGTTGATCTCAAGTCATGTCTAACGACCAAAAGAAAGTTTCCAAACCCTCACAAAAGTCAATTAGAACAAACATTCTAAAGAAGTTATTGCCAACCCCCCGTGAACTTCTTGACATTGCATGCAATGTTGTTTAGTCCAAACGATGTTAACAAAAATTTATTCTAAAAAGCTTTAATGTGAAATAAGTAAGACATGCAACGGCTTTTCCCCCTAACCAAAGAAAAGTATGAAAAACTGTGTGTGAAATTTTTTTGCTGCTGTTGCTTCATCTCTTGTCTAGAACCATCCAGAATTTTCAGCTTCTTATTTACTTCACTATCGCAAGCTATACAAACAATATCAGCAACAAAAAAAAAAGAATTGAGAGAGAATCTGAATATAAAAGTGCACCAGATGTTTGATTATTTCTTTATACAGCACAATTTTATAACAATGTGCTTAAATTCTTCTCTTCGATTCCATCCTTGGGGTCTTCTTACAGAGCAAAAGAAAAAAATTGAAACTTTTCTTACGGTATTTTGCATTTGCTGCTTACTGCGGTAAAAATGCTTATAAAATTGAGCGTCTTTATTAAAAAAAATTTTTTTCATTCTCCTGTAAAAGTTAATGGCATTTTGAGATTTTTTTTGTGCTCCATTTTTTTTTTTTTTTCGTTAAGTATGATGAGTTGCATGGGGTCACACGCCAATAAGTTTCTTCGATTTTGTTCCTCTTTTTTTTATCATCCTTGCAAATGTGCTATGATGTAATGAAATAGACAGAAGGGACATCAGCAGAAGGAAGAAAGCAAAGTTATAATAACAATAATTATTCATCATACAGAAAATCAATCAAAATGGATTGCCGAGCGTCACTTGGCTTATAAAAATCTCCTCTATTAAAAATTTTTTTTTTCTTCTCGTCTCTAATTTTGCCTTATTGCTAAATTCCTTTTTTTTTCCTATCTACTCACAATTTCCTGGGAGTAAAAAATAATAATAAAAATAAAAATACAGCAAAAAAAAATTTAACGAGCATAAAAATTTTTTCTGACTTTTTCATGCCTTTAAGGCGACATTCGAGTACTAAAGAAAGTTTTTTAAGAGCGATTCATATGAAGTAAAATAGGAAGAAGGAAGAGGTATGATGAAATTATGAAATCGTGGATTTGTGAACGTTGACAAGGGGCTGGGGTGTAGTCAGATATTTTTCTCAAAGCTTAGTTTTTCAAATTTATGATTTGTCTGTTCGAATGTTTGTCTGTAATGAATTATTGACTTTGATGTTCATTATTTGAGGGTCTGAGATTTTGTGACAATGAGTAAGCACTCTTAAACCTCACTTTTAGGGGATTATTAAGGAGTTGTTCAACTATGATATCCGAGATTTTAAGGGCGCAGGGTTTAGAATTTTGTGACAGCAAAGGATTTTTTTTTTATTTAAATTTTGTGACAGAAGAGATTCTAAGAATCTTTTTTTTTGATTGACGCCCCTAAACTGCAAAGAAACAAAAACTGTCTCTGATAAGATATCCCAAGGCCCTGTTTGGAGGTCTACCTGGGGCATCCATGAGCAGAAATTAACTTCGAAGTTAATCCACAATATGGAATATAAATAAAATTAATCTAAAACTAGGGTATGGAGCCTCGTGTAGCCTTAGAAGCCAGATCCTGGTTCCATTTTGCTTAGGTTGTCCATCGGTTGTGGTCAAAAAGCTGTACATCTCCCATTTCAGCTCTGAAAAAGCGGGACTGACCAAATTTTCAAGCATTTTCGTGGTTTCAAAAAGCGGGACTGTCCCGCTCAAAAGTGTATAGTTTAACAGCTTAATTCAACTTTAACCACACTGTTCTAATGCCTGCTGAATGCATTTAGTGACATAGCATCTTCAAGTCAGCAGTTTGTCAAGTTAAACTTCATTGCCACTCAAACATGCATTCTGAAAGTATCTATTAATCAATGATCAGTTCTTCAAAGCATCAGCTATCCCATGTCTTTTAAACTAAGAAATAAAATCCAATTCAACTTGCTCAGTTTCAACTTAAAGCACTAATATGTATGAAAATCATGAAAATATAGAAAGCGCACCAGTGAAAAAAATTAATAAAGAAACTTTTTTGTATCTCAAAAAAAATATTTTTTAATTAAAAATTCATTTCCAATCCGATGAAATAAGAAAACTTTTATCACCTGGGCAGGACAATATTGAAACATGAAAAAAAACAAGCAAAAGACGATGAAGAAAGAAGTTGTTTTTGATGAGGATGTAGAAATGAAAAATCCTCGTGTCCACTTGAGTAAGTTTATTTAATGATAAAAATTTATATTTTATCCTCTTTTTCTTATTGTAAACTCATGAAGACTGGTTGAACATGAAAAAAGTACACACAGTTGAGGACATTGCGCAATGATCTGAAATTAATCGGTAATTTTTTGGAGAGATGAAAAGAAAAGCATGAAAAAAAAATTATTCTCGATGGACATTTATGAAAATATGTAGGACATGAAAAGGAGAATAAGGAATAAGAATCAGCAAGAGACCATCACCGAAACCCCATAATCGTTAACATTCCATCTTGCCACTTTATGTTCAAATAATATCGAATGATTTGCAATTGAAATTTTATCGGAGGGAAAATTGTTGTATTGCCATTACCCAACCATAAGCTCTGTTGAGTAAAAATCCATTAGTAGAAGAGCTCAAGAGAAGAAGAATAAAAATGTTCATTCCTGTGCATGAATACATTTATTGTGATAAAAATATATTTTTCTTCTTCACTCTCGTCGTACTGGATATATATTATAATTCACTGTTATTTTAACCGCATTTCATATGACCGAGTGATGCATGGATTGATTTGTTATGGACAAGTGACAGTTTGGTAAATTTTGGGGGTATTGATATCTGTGACAGTTTTGTGACAGAGGAGGGGAGGAGGTTTTTGGTTATGGACGTCATAAGTGAACGGCTCATTACTGAAAAGTTCGATTTTGTAGCTAAGAGATTTTTGGGTATCGACGTCATAAGTGAACGGCTCATTACTGAAAAGTTCGATTTTGTAGATAAGAGATTTTTGTGAATCAAACCCTCGCTCAATAGGAAAATTTCTTCAATTCGCTAGATTTTCAATGTCAACTCTCTCTTCCTCGAATTTCTATTAATGTCTTTAGTCACAATAAACCAGTATGAACCAGTCATACACAGTTCGGGTTCAACAGTTTCCAAAAATATTCACTTGTTTTTTTTTTGAATGTAGAAACGAGCATTACACTTATTTTTTTAAAAAAAAGCATGTCTTTACATTTTAATGACATTATTTTACATATTGTAGATATTCTACAAACAATTTCACGTTGTGGGAAAGATAACAAATGACAGACAGTAGAATCAACTGTAATTGCTTCCATCAGCCACTGACTATCATCGTTTATACTCAACCATGTCCATACTACACGTCTATCCT